CACCGTTTCTCTGGTTTTCCGTTTTTTGATGGGTAAAACCGTTTCCTGCACCGACGGCGTCACCGGCGTTTTCTTTTTGCTTTCCGGTACCGTCCCGGTGGACCCCAAAACCCCCGCGTTCCCCGTGGGTTTCCTTCCTCTTTTCTTGGGGATCGATTGACTATCGCTCGCTTCCGATTTCCTTTTCCTTCCGGGTCGTTTCACACTTAAAATCTGAGCTGATGATGATGACGTCGTCGCTGACGTCATCGCCGACGTCATCGCTGAGGTCATCACCGTTGTGGTTTCACCCCGGGAGGTCCCAGTTTGTCCCGGTTGAAACGGCATCTTCACTAATAACTTCCCCGAGCTTTTCTCAATCACCCGTTTGACTTGGACTCCCTCTGACGTCATCGCCGCCGTTGATGACGTCATCGTTGTCTTAGGTTTGGTTACTCCACTACCTTTAGGACGACCGCGACCTCGTCCGGTACCGGTAGTTTTAGGTGATTTAGGTTTTTTAGATGGTTTTTGTTCTCTCCTTGATGGGCTCCCACGACCGGTGACGGTGAAATCAAAATCATTTGGATCTAAAGAATTATCACCGATTTTCTCAAAATAAGCGATTAATTCCACTTTGGAACGAAAAGCTTTTCCTTGAGGGCTGAAAAACACCCCAAAAAACCACGAGGAAATGGTTAAAATGAAGATGAAAATGAAAGATTAAGGTGGGATTTACTCATCCCCCGTGTCGTTAACCCCCTCCCCCACCCCCCTCGTTACTCACTTAATTAAGTAGACGTCGTATTTGCCGGCGGATCGCCCCGATTTCCGCTGTTTGAGTTTCCGGGTCCAACCCTCGGGTAGGGTGGGGTCGTCGTACATGGGACCCCGGTCTCGGATGATGGAACGACGTTGTTTCGGTGAGGCTGAAGCTTCCGGTGGTGCCGGTGCCGTCCCGGGACTCTCAGAGGTCTCGGCTTTACCGGCCTCAGCCGGTTCCGGGGCTGGTTCCGGTTCTGGGGCCGGTTCACCGGGTTCCTCGGGTTCTTTTCGGTCCTTTTTGAATTTCTTGGGTTTGGTGGGTCGCTCCCTCAGCGCCTGCGGGGGCTGCTCCGGCTGCTCCACCCTGGGAGGGAAGGAAGGCACAGGGATGGGGTGAGGGGG